ATAGAGGAATCTAACTTTCTTCTCCTCATTAAGTTCTTTTCCACTTCTGTAGCACTCTTACCTCCTTATTGGAATCCTTTCAACCTGGCACAGGCATACTCTGTTGTTGGCTACACAAGGGTCCAAGAGCCACCATGTACTGCTTGCCTATTATGTGCCATGCAGTATACTAAATACTTTTAAATGCCATGACCATTAATTCTCCACTAACACCATAAAGAAGGTATGCACAAGAGAAGACTAAAGCTCAGGAAGGTTACATAACTTGCCGAAGGTCACACAGTAGACAGTAGCAGAACATGAATCATATCCAGATCTCTCTTTTAGCTACTATGCCAGGGCTTCTCGAGATGTTTCATAAGGCTCAGTTGTGTGCAATTAGACATATAACTTGCCAATGGTTAGAGAGCTGGTCTGTAAAAGATATACTTTTAAAAAAATAAATTAGATTTGATATAGGATCTCCCCTCCCCCAAGTAGCAGCACTCTTCCTATTTGTTAGCTCAAGTGCATTGCTGAAAGAACAAGATCATGATGGTATAGACTAGACCACGGGAAACGTCCAATAGCCAATAGGAAGGGGTACACTCTCTGGAGCCAGATGACTGAATTTGAAGCCCAAATCTGCTCTTTGTAGCTGTGTGACCTTATTTACACCTTGCATGTGGGTTGATTTTCTCACTGGTAAAACAGACTTGCTGAAGACTCGATCAGCTTGTGAGTGTTAGATGAAAACAATGCCTAGTAAATGGTGAGATCAAGTAACATGGATTACATTTTACAGTGTCCATAGCTCTCAAAAATGGAAACTGGTCTATCCCTGCACCGGGCCTGGGTGAGTGAGTACTAACTTTAATGACAACTAAAGCACATATTTAATAATTTGCCTTCCGTTTTGAAATGTAGAGAGATTGTGGATAACTTGGATGACTCATGTCTCTCTTTTAAACTGCCTAGAGAAGAGTGACTTACTGTCTTTTTATTCTCCTTGAGAAATATCCTTACCACAAATTTAAGCATCCATTTTTATAAAGCTAGCCAAACCGGTGTCTTGTTGTGGGGAAAGTCAATTAATATTTCCATGTTTGCTAGAGTACCCCCCATGTGCTTAGAAGCTGTGCTCCTGGCTCAGGTCATCTGGGTGCTCGAGTGTCTGTGTCTTGCTGTCTACTCATGTAACTTCTTTTCCGGGTTCCCCCATGACTCCCTGCTCTTTCAGTTCCTCAGAAGCTTCTCTTAGTTTAAACCACAGACGAGCCTGCAGTCAAGGCCTCTATTAGATAAGAGTGAGTGAACAAAGCATGTAGCCACTGAAAACTGTGATCCCTCTTCTGATATCAAAATCTCTTTATTCACCACATCATGTTCTTTTTTTTTTTTTTTTGAGTTAGAGTCTCACTCCATCACCCGCTGGAGTGCAGTGGCACGCTCATGGTCACCCCAGCATCGACCTGCTGGGCTCAGGTCATCCTTCCACCTCAGCCTTCCAAGTAGCTGGAACTACAGGCACACGTTACCATGCCCAGCTAGTTTTTTAATTCACTGTAGAGATGAGGTCTCGTCAAGTTGCCCAGGCTGTTCTCGAATCCATGGGCTCAGGCAGTCCCCTCACCTCAGCCTCCCAAATTGCTGGATTACAGGCTTGAGCCACCACACCCGGCCAAGACATCATGTTCTTGATGTTAAAGCATCTTCTTATGAAAATAGGAAACAAGGCCACCTTCCCCACCATGTTACCTTTAGTTACAAAATATAAGGAGCGGTGTTCCTTTCCACCTCCTCCTCAGTCTGTTTGCCTGAGTACTTCTAAGATATTGCAGCTCAAGTTCCTTGTTCAGAGGTCATCGCCTGAGGGAGTCAGAACAAAATGGAGTCTGAGAGGACATAGACAGGACAGTGTATGTTATATATTTCTCCTACCAAGTTTCCTATTTGTCAGGATAATCATAGCTCGAGAGGTCTGGTAAGATGCCACATCTGCTTGTTTCTTTCCTGCCCCCAAACCCTTGTTTTCCTAAAGTGAAAGTTCTTACTAGCCAAGAGTCAAGGATCACTGAGTCTTTTCCCAAAAGGTGCTATTTTGCAGGTATGTATCTTGAAACAGTGGAAACAAACTGGCTACCCAGGTCAGGTATATTTAATTTGGATGCCTAAACATGTCATTTTTAAGGAAAAAAAATGATAACTTAAGGATTATGTTACACGCATGTTCTGAATAGCACAGACACTCCAACTCTGAGGCCCTGTGAAATATTTGGGCATGTTTCATTATTTGAAAATGACATGTGTTAGTAACAGGTGATCTATCTCTGTATTCAAAAGGTATGGCATAATCCATGCTGGTGGGGTAGGGAAATACCTCAGTAACTGGATCCTGCATGGAGAGCCTCCCTTTGATCTGATAGAATTGGATCCCAACCGCTATGGCAAATGGACAACACCTCAATACACCAAGGCCAAAGCCAGAGAGTCATACGGATTCAACAACATCGGTAAGGCGCCAGTGGCTGCTGTCCATGGAGTGGTTATGGGGTTGCTTGTAGCATCTCTGACTTCAGATGCTCTTTATTCTGTCCATTGGGGTGGGGTGGTTAAGGACTCTAAAAAGCACTGTGCCTCTAGGGCACAATAAGGAATATATATGATTGTATGTATATAATGTGTGGGGTGCATCACTGGTTTTCAATTTTAAATATATTTTTACTTTGTTCTTCAATGAGCAATGCAAATGACAGCTTTGTTTTTGACATAAATTATATATATATATACACACACACACACACATATGTTTCTGGACTATAAGTGCTGTATTTCCCATTTTCTGAATCCCTTCAGAGTATTTTATTGTTTGACTGTGTGCTGTTTAAAGTACTACTGGCTTTCTTCTTCAGTTGGTTATCCTAAAGAAGAACGGTTTGCTGGGAGGCCAACTCAGCGAGTCAGTGGGCTCTACACAACCCTGGAGTCCAAGTGTTCCATGGGGTTCCACGCGGGCTGGGAGCAGCCACACTGGTTCTACAAACCCGATCAGGACCCTCAGTACAGGTGGGTGAATGAGCTAACTTGCCTGGGGTTCTGATGGAGGGTTGAAAAGGCAAGGCAGCAAGAAGTGTCCAGTCCCCGCGCGTCACCCTGCCCCATTCCAAGAAGCACCGAGCCTTGTCCTACACACTTACTTTCTGGCAGCGGAGACATTGGTTGAGCCCACCTGACACTGGCTCTCATCTGGGTCCCGTGTGGCCTCGAGAGGCCTATACCCAACCTGGGTGAAGCTGCTTACTAGCAGGTTGAGGAAGCTTCCCAACCCCCACATGCTTCAGTTGGTTCCTGGGGGTTTACTGTGCCTTGGGATACACGTCAAGTCGTGGTGTGCGCAACCACAAAATGAAAAGCACCTGGAGTTTTGGGTTTTCTACTCATCGTGAGATAGCACAAGCAACTGCCTTCTAGAACGTAGGCACTGACCCACGCAAATTACATGCACAGTGGATAAATGAGTGGGAAAGACCATTTGCATAACATTTTAGGTTAAGCTAAAGCATGAAACAGGCCACTGAACTAGTTCTCTGCATCCCTGTAAAATGCTACACGCCACTGATTTACTTAGGATTAATTGTGATTATGTATTTTTTCTCACAAAAATCCATAAACAAAGAGAAAACAAATTGTGAATCTACAAGTTAAGGTACCTTCGTTTTTGAGTGGTCATTTTGCTTATTTAAACAGGTTTAGATGTCCACTTTAAGACAAGCTCTAAGTGGTACAAAGTATAGTGGAAGGCCAGGTCTTGGTGAATGAATTGAGTTCTTATAGGCAGTCAGTCTAGATTACTGGGTGGCGAGATTCTGGTTTGATTTTTCCTCAATGACTCCACCACATGCCAGCTCTATATTTTACCTAACATCATTTGGACCTAAATTTCTTCTACCATTTTAACAATTATGCAACTGAAAACTCATTTGGCAGACTTAACATCCAGCTCTGAAGGCAACACACCACATTAGAAGTCCTCTTCATAAAGTAGAAAGAACCTCTGGCAGTGAGTCAGGAGACCTTTGTTCCAGGACTCGCTCTGTCATTAACTAATGCAAAGGCCTTGGGAGTCACTTTGTGCCTTTTCTCTGAAAAAGTAAGATGCTTACTCCAGGTATAGACAAGAACGTGGACACCATCTAGGAAAATGCAGACGACGGGGTTCACCCTGGACCCACTGCGGCAGAATCTGGTCTTTAACAAGTGCAGCGATTTGTATTCACACGAATGCTTCGAAAGTGCTGCACTAGATAGCTCTACCCCTAGAAATTCTGATTTAATTAGGCCCACTCCTCTGTAGTAGTTTAAACTGCTCCCCGGGGAATTCTAATATACAACCAGAGTTGAAAGCCATACAGACCGGTTGACTTCTAAGCTCTCTTCCAGCTCTGACAGCCCACACCTTCCGTCTTACTTTCTAGTTAATTAATACCTCATTCACTATGAAATGGGTCAAAGGGATAGATGAGTAACTTTAAAAAGTCAGAGTCCAGCAGGCATGTATGACTTGCAGAACGGAATTTGAGGTTGCGTGGCCCCCTTCCGTCCCCTATCCCCACCAACAGGATTTTCTCAATGAGCAGCGTTTATTAAAAAAATCCTCATTCTGGAACTTTTGGGAAATGAGGGGTAGTTGTTTTATGACACTAAACGCTGTGTTTCAGGCCAAGTTTTCGCCGCACAAACTGGTTTGAGCCTGTGGGCTTCGAGTACAAACAGGTTATGCAAAGAGTAGGGGTGATTGACCTGACACCCTTTGGCAAGTTTAACATCAAAGGCCAAGACTCCATCAGACTGTTGGACCATCTCTTTGCAAATGTCATTCCAAAGGTAAATAGTCTTGTAGGGATACAAGGTCCAGGATTCTGACCTGTTTAATTCTCTATCGTCTCATTTTTCCCCCAAAGCCAAAATGTTATTTTAGTTCACTTAGTGATTTCTGTATGAACACTAGAACTCCGCACCTGATCAAAAGTATACAAGCTAATTTTGAAATTTAAATTTTTGTGGAATGAATTATCATCCAAGAACCTTATAACTTGGCTTCATTGTTTCAATGGGAACTTAAAATTGACTGCAACTAAATGAAGTGTAATTTTTATGACAAGTAGTTTGAAATAATTGTTTAAATCGAGAACCTCAAATTAATCTCAGGCTTAGGTTTACAGACAATTTACACAATTGATACAAACAATAAAAGTCAGAGGTTTTTCATTGTTAACACCCACATTTTTATTTAAATGTATGTTGAAAGGATGCATACAATTTTTATTTTATACTAAAGAAATTTTGAATTCTTTTGTGTAGGTGGGTTTTACAAATATAAGCCACATGTTAACACCAACAGGCCGAGTGTATGCTGAGTTAACTGTTTCTCACCAGTCTCCAGGGGAGTTTCTATTAATAACTGGCTCTGGATCCGAACTTCACGATCTTAGGTAAGTGCACACCTTGTAAGAAAGTTCTGTACATGTTATGTATTGTCTCGATCTTACACTGGAATTTTCTTTTACCAGTACTTGAAAGTAAATTTTAATTCTTTTAAAAAAAATTTTAATTCTTAAACCTGATTGTTTCGAGTAAACTTCATGTCTCTTTAGGAAAATATTTGAAGTGAAGGCCCCTGCTCACCACCATGGTAATTCATCCATGGGGTTTACTGGTTCTAATAACACTAACTCCCATTTGTTAGACATCATCAATGTGCCAGAGCCCCTTTGAGACCTTACCACAATGAATTCTCGTAACATTCTGCAAGGTATCTATTATTCCCATTATCAGATGAGGGAAATAGGTGTGGGTTAGGGTAACTTGCTCAAGTCAGTCTTCTTGACCTGACGCCCACATTGGGACCTCCTGAGCCGTCTCCCTGCTTTGGGATCCTTGGTGCTCGCTCAGCCAAGGTTGAATCTAAGTTGCTGACTGCCAGTTCAAGCCTTTGCATGACTCTTTAGTCCACTATAACGTCTGTAGTCTAATATTCCAAAAGAATATTATTCTTTAATAAGTGCCTCTCTCTGACAGATTCTCACCTCAGTTAGTAATGCAAATTAGATGTACAATTTATGATGTACAGGCACCGTCTTACGGCGTTAGCTTTGTGTACATCCAGAGGAGCACTCTGTGATAGACTTACATAGCTCCAGGAGCTGCTCAATAAATTATCAACCAGCCTTCCAGCTGGGTCCTGATACCGCATCAAGACTTAGACACTGAAACGAGAGTTTTTGTCTTTTCCTTGGGATTGTCAGAGCAATTACATGTCTGGTGGCAGGCACATTATTAATCTTCAGCAACACAAGAATGCCTCCTATGTACAAGTATTAGAAAAAAATTGAGGCTTTAATTTTTGAAGGCTGAACCATTAGCTTAAATGCAATAGGGCTGTCGCTATTTAAAAGAATTGTGTGACAGAGCTGGTTTAAATTGAGGAATCCCTCTGTACTGTGAAAAATTATCTCCACATTTATAAGTGAGTGGTTTAAAGATAATCACTTAACATCTCAGGGGCTAAGTTTCCTCAACTTTAAAAATCGGGTGATTTTATGAAATGACACTCTGAGGCCTTTCTGATAATTCCAGACACAAAGTGTGTCTTCAGAGAAATAACATGTTACCAAAATGCATTATTCAAGCAATTTTAACACAATGCTTATGACTCAAATGCAGATGGATTGAAGGAGAGGCAGTCAAAGGTGGATATGACGTTGAAATCAGAAATGTAACCGATGAACTTGGCGTCCTTGGAGTTGCAGGGCCACTTGCCAGAAAGGTCCTTCAGAAACTGACCTCTGAAGATCTTAGTGATGATGTTTTCAAGTTTCTTCAAACCAAGTCTTTAAAGGTTTCCAGCATTCCTGTCACTGCTATTAGGATATCTTATACCGGTAAGAATTGGAAAACAACCTAGAGTAAGTCTCTGAAATTTAAAAGGAGATGTCTTCAGAAGTAGTGTGGGCGTGTGTGCATGCACCCCTCACATCTCCTCTCATACTCACTCACTTTTGTCAATGTGACTTTGGAGGAAGGTTTCCTCTGCCAACTCTATGACAAGTCTTTCTAGTCACTCCTAGTCTTGAAAGTGTTTCCACAGATTTCCATTCCCACAGATAGCTGCCTACCACTTGGAAGAGCAGATAAGAACATGGGGAGAGGATGGCTGCTGGAATCGTTGGAATATTCAGGCCAGCCAACTCTATTTGAGTATTTGAAATGGTCTTCCAGCCGGGCTCGGTGGCTCAGCCTGTAATCCCACGCCTTTGGGAGGCTGAAGTGAGTGAATTGCCTGAGCCCGCGGGTTCGAGACCCGCCTGGGCAGCGAGACCTCATCTCTACAATAAATCAAAACATCAGCCGGGCGTGGTAGCGCATGCCTGTAATTCCGGCTACTCGGAAGGTTGAGGAGGAAGGATCGCCGGAGCCCAGCAGGTCGAAGCTGTGGTGGCCGGGAGCGGCCACTGCACTCCAGTCTGGGTGACAGAGTGAGACTCCAACTCAAAAAAAAAAAAAAAATAAGAAATGTTCTTCCAGAGATAGTCTTCCATAGAGACCATCTTGAATGTATGAAGCAGCTCTCCTAGGGCACTGCCAAAAATTCATCCTTCCTCCTAGACTGTGAGTTCACTAGAAAGTCTTCACCTAGCACCTGACCTTGCACACTGTAGGTATTGCAAACAGAGAGGAAGGAGTGCTCTTCAGTTCCCTGGCCGTGGTCTGGTCACGTCTAACTTCCTCTTTATCTCCTTGTCCCTCACAGAAGGAATACTTTGTGCCTAAGCATTCACTCAATTGCTTGTGGCTCCTATTCTGGAGGGTCCTGAAAAACACATCACCATGAGCCCTCGGCCTTGGAGAACAAGGAGCATATATAGTGCCAAACACTACAGCTCTTCCCTGGGCTTCTAGTCTGTTTTTTCCTGCCCTTCGTCCACCCAAGCTTGGCAAAATCTAGAATAAAACATAAGGAGAGCCGGGCTTGGTGGCTCAGCCTGTAATCCCGTGCCTTTGGGAGGCTGAGGTGAGTGGATTGCCTGAGCCCGCGGGTTCGAGACCCGCCTGGGCAGCGAGACCTCATCTCTACAATAAATCAAAAAAATTAACTGGGCGTGGTAGCGCGCGCCTGTAATTCCAGTTACTTGGAAGGCTGAGGCGGAAGGATCGCTGGAGCCCAGCAGGAGAGGCTGCGGTGGCCGGGAGCGGTCT